CCCCCCCCCCCCCCCCCCTACTCGCGAGTTCTGCCGGGAGCACACGCAATCCTCGCCGGAATCGTACACGTCCTTACACAAAACAAGGGGCGGCGGCGCAACAACACCAGGTCAACGGAAAAACCGACCACCCTTCCTACTCACATATTCACGTCCCGCACCCCCTACCATACGTCCATTTCAAGTACCACGTGACCCCCCCCCCCCTCCGTCGCCACACCCCTCTCACCCTGAGATAAGAGTAGTGAGCGCGTAGCAGACAATGAAGGTGGTGACCATCTCCCCGCGCTCTTCGTACACGTCGCCGTGGAGGGGCCCGGCGATTGCGAACAGGATCACCAGCAGCACCAGCACCGCGAGCTGGCACCCCGTGCCGAACAGCGCGCTGAAGAGCATGAGGTGTTTGGGCGCCCGGAACACGTCCCCGTGAACCTTTTTTTCGACAGCAGTGCCCGGGAAAGGGGGGGGGGGGGAGGGGGAGGGGTTCCGTCATCGACAAATGCACATTCTCCAAAACATGACTGTTTCGGGCAGGGAGGGAGGGGAGGGGGTGCACTCATAGCTGTGCATGCCGTAGTCGTTAGACCATCATTGACAGGGGGGGAGGGATACGCCATCTAAACATTGGGAAGCTATTCAAGTGCAGGGAAGACAAGGATTGACGCCTGCAAGGGTTCGTGTTATATTCAAAGTCATCATGCACTGAATGAAATGGGCGACCCCCCAGCCCGCCAACCAGCAAAGAGCAAAAAAAAAAAAAAATACACCCGCGTGGCGTCCCTTTCGGTGCAGGAAGCATCACCCCCAAGCCTACGGAAGAGCAATCGGCTGTGTGCTGTCTCACCTGCTTCCAGCCGCTATCTTCCCCGATGCCCGCGTCAGGCCCCTCCAAATCGTCATCATCAGGCGAATACTGCACGGGAAAGAGGGCAGAGTTGAGGCAGGATTTAGCACTTCGTATTCCGTAGGTTGTATTAAGATATCACACCCCCTGGACCGATCTTCAAAGCTTTTTTTTTACTCGGCAAGGAAAGAGGTGGCGGTGTCGAAAATGACGGAGTTAAACCCTTCCCATCGAGAGCTTTCCGAACACATATCGCTTGCCTTCGGCATCCTCTAGGTCGTGGCGTAATCGAACTTTTTGTATCTGTCCAGGGGGGGGGGGGGGGGGG